CACTTGAGGCCTATTTCCTCATGTATGAAATGGGTATAGCAAGAAAAGTTACTCCATAGTTTGTTGGTGTGAGGATGGTGAAAGGTAATGCATATATTCTCTCCTCCCCCTGCTGGGGATGGAGCACAAGGCTTCCTCTTTGTCAGACAAGCAGTACCTCTGAGCTGCATACTCCCAGCTATTTAAAAATGTTTTTAACAATGATGTCTTCCTTTTCTCTTGTTGCTGAAATAAAATACCTGACATCCAGAGTTAAAAGGGGAAGGTTTATTTAGCTCAGAATTTGTAGAGGTTTTAGTCCATTGTTGGCTGACTCAAAGGCAGAGTGGCACATGGCAGAGAGGCATCCCAGAGGGAGAAACAGTTCATGGCACACAGAAGACAGCAAAGCAAGCAAGGGGAAAGACAAGCCTCTTCATGTCCCTTATATTGTATCCAGGCTGTCAGGGATTAGGGCTGTGACAAACCAGTGGATGTATTGAGGATATGAGGGCAATCTGGCTGTGACAGAATTGCCAGGGTTGATTCGGATTTGGCTGATCTGGCTGGCTAGGCTGGCGTTCCCTTCCTTCCTCATTACTCCAAGTGTATCCCTCCCAACGCTGCTCAGTCAAAGAAGAGGACCACCACGGTCAAGGGTATAGGAGTAGCTGCACTCCCTTGCTAGAACCTTCAGTCATTGTACTGATTTAATTGCACACCCTTAGTCCCAGCATCACCCATTCTAGATTCAGCCACTTTGGAAAAAGCCCCACCTATGACTACATAAGGCTTGGAGGGGGACATCTAGACAGAAGCCATGATAAATGGATAAGGACTGAGTTAGAGTAGCTGTAAGATAACAGTTGATGTAAGTTATACCTTGTGTTTCTGAGTCATGAAAAAATCTTTGGTTTCAAGTACGTACATCATTTTTTTGTTGTTATTAAATTCTTTTATTGGTGCATTGTAGGTATACAACACAATTACATTTCTCATTGGGAATTGTACCTTTACATAATGCATCTTGGTTCTTATTTTTTCCCCATTCCTAGCCCTCCCTTCATTTTTGTTGATTTTAGCTTTAATTGATTTTTCAGATACTTCAGTACATTTAGAACAGTGGTTCTCAAACAAGATGTTTTGCTCTTCAGAAGACTTTTGACAATATCTAGAGAGATTTATGGACTAATGGCTATGTCTGGATGCAGTTTTGATTATCAGACCTGCAGGAGGGGTGGTTCTACCAGGAATGCTGCTTAACAGTCCCATAACAAGAGTTATATGGCCCATTAGATCGATGATGCTGAGGCTGTGAACGATCCTGGTTTAGAACCATTTAAAAGTGAAAAGTATAACATTTTATTTATTGGTGCTGAGGATTGAACTGAGGGCATCGCACTTACCAAGCACAGATGTATGTAACTACTACTGAGTTACATACCTCTAGCCCTTTTAGTTTTATTTATTTTTATTTTATTTTATTTTTGAAGTACTGGGAATTGAACCCAGGGCCTTGCATATACTAGACATGTGCTCTTCCACTGAGCTCCATCCATACCTGTGTGCCTACCTGTCTGCTGGCCCGCCCTCGCTCCCTCTCCACTTTCCCCTTCCCCTTTCCCCCTCTCCCTCGTCCCCTCCTCTCCCCCTTCTGCCTTCCCTCCTCTCTCCTCTTCCTTCCTCCCTCCCTCCCTTTCTGTCTCTGTCTCTGTCTCTGTCTCTTGGGGAGGTTTCACTGAATTGAATCTCCTGCCTAGGCTGATCTTGAACCTCCTGTCTCAGCCTCTCAAGTTTTTGGGAATATAGGCATGTGCCACTGTGCCATACTTCAGAATTTATTTTTTTTAGGTTATTTCAAATTTATGCATCATGAAATGCACATTTGCTTTTTCTTTTTGCAATGCTGGGAATTGAGCCCAGGGCCTTGGTGAATGCTAGAAAACTGCTCCACCACTTAGCTACATCACCGGCCAAAAAAGGCACAGATTTTAAGTGTACTGGTTAGTGAGCATTCACAGATGTATACATTTGTTTCATTTAAACTCCTGTAAAAATATAGAGCATTATTATTATTGCTCCATGTAATTTCTTCTTCTCAGTTCTACCTGATGGTGTTTTCTTATTTTGTTTTTTTGTGTGTGTTTGTTTGTTTCCGGAACTGAGGATCAAACTCAGGACCTTGTGCTTGCAGGGCAGGCACAGTGCCACTGAGCTCAATTCCCAGCCTCTGATCCATTCCTAAAGTGTCCCTTTCGGAGTGTGACATATCAGTTAACATACTATCTGTTTGTTTATTTAGTTTTGAGACAGAGTGTAGTTATGTAGTTCAGACTGGCCTTGAACTCACTATGTAGACCAGGTGGGCCTCCAGCTGGAGTCCATCCTCCTGCCTCAGCTTCCCCAGTGTTGGTATTTCAGGCATGTGCTACCATGCTCAGCCTCCTGACTGTTTTTAGTCATTAAACTTTTTGCTGCTACTAATGTTAAGTAAGGATAAAAAACATCGTGACTGTTCTAGATATCTCTGAAAAGGTTAATTTCCATTTGATTTTGTAAAAAGAATTCTGTAGATAGGTACGGTATTTGGGTAAGGGCATAACTTCAAGCTGTTGTGAATCCCCGCCCCCAGTACCGAGAATCAAACTCAGGGCCTTGCACTTGCTAGGCGGGCGCTGTGCCACTGATACACATCTCTGGCCCTTGTTGGGCACATTTTACAGATTGAATAAATAGCTTTTGTGAAGCCAGGCACTACGGCTCACACCTGTAATTCTAGCTACTTAGGAGGCTGAGACAGGATCAAAAGTTTAAGGCCAGGGCAACCCACTTTCCAGTCCCCCTTCTAGCTCTCAGACGGAAGCTATCTATCTTTCTCTCAGTAAAATTTTCCTGCTCTTATCCTCCACTGTTCTTACAATTCATTCTTTGATTTTAGAGAACACAAACTCTCGTTTCAGATATGTAGCAGGTTTGGGAGTTATAGCTATTCCCCTATATCACTAGCATTACTCACCCAAGTGGATAAGAAACCAGAAGAGATACTCACTTTCAGATGCTCTACTCATTCACCGTAGCTGGCTGTCGTGTCTCTTGTCGCTGTCTCTGTCTGTCTGTCTGTCTCTCTTCCCCCTTTCCCCACCCTCAAGTAAATTGTCTTCTTTTAAAACAAAACGGGAAAAGGGACCTAAGGGGGACAGATGACTCCCCTGTGGTAAGGAGTAATTATTTTCAAGGACAACTGAGAACAGTCACAGAAAACTGTTGCCAAGTGTCACAGAAAATGCCAGCTGGCTGCAAAGAACTGTGGAGGGCACATTGGAAAACCTGCAAGTGAAAACAAAATACGTGGCATAGCCTTAGAAAACAAAGTATAGGCCTTGCCAAAATACAGATTTCAAAGTACCCCTCCCTCCCCTGTGAGGATTCAAAGAATGAGTGTTAGGCAGGTAGTCACAGCCGTTAGTGGTCCTGAGGGACAAAGGGATGGGCTTGGGGATGGGAGTCCAGAAAAGAAGTTTAAAAAAGAGAAAGTTTAGGGCCAGTCCTGGCAACTTAGTAAGACCCTGTTTGAAAATAAAACATTAAAGTTTGGGGATTATAGCTCAGTGGTAGAGCACCACTGGATCAGTCCCCTGTATTGGGGGTGGAGGGGGCTTGAGAGGAAACAGCTTTCGTAACATTAAGACATTTTTAAGATACTGTTTGTATTCTTCTTACATAAGCATGTAAAGCCTCTCTTCAGTACTTGGAAAGCCTGCAGCACAATGAAAAAGAACATAGCTTTATTCAATTTACCAGTTTGTTATTTATTGTCTTAGATCCCTGTATTCTATACAGCAGTCAACACTCTCTTCCCCCTAATCAAACCTGGGCCTTGCTCATTCTAGACAAGTGGTCTATCACTGAGTTATTCTCCATCCCTATTCTATATCAGTGTTGAATTCTTGAAGTAGAAAGGAACTCTCGCATGGTTTTAGCAGTGAACATGTTGTCTAGTTTATAAGTGCTTATATCACTTGTTTCTTGCAGTAGTGGAGAGAACTGTTACAGTTTATGAATGTGTGCACTTGCTCTTCTCCATGTGATGGTAAAGGATCTGCAACCCATGCAGGTATTTCAGGAGATGATTAACAGGACCTAATAGTTTTTACAGGTAATATAAGAGAAGAATTACATAAAAAGGAAAAGAGATTTTTCTGTCTGTGAAGAGGTAGATGTTTTGTTAAAATACTTTTTTTTTTTGGTACCAGGGATCGAACTCGGGACCTTGCATTTGCGAGGCAGGTGGCGGCACTATTGAGCTAAATCCCTGGCCCTTTTTTTTTGAAACAAAGTCTCACTGTGTAGTTTAGTCTGGTTTTGAACTCACTGTGTACCCTAGGCTGGTCCCAAACTCAAGTAGTCCTCCTGCCTTGGCCTCCTGAGTACTGGGATCAGTGTGCAGCACCATGTCCAGCAAGATACCAGTACTAAAAACATAGAAGATATAAAAAAATTACTCTTTGGGCTGGGGATTTAGCTCAGTGGCACTGCACCTGCCTTGCAAGAGCAAGGTCCTGAGTTCATTTCTCGATAACAAAAAAAAAAAAAGATTACTCTTTCCGTGATAGTTTCTACTAATTGTCACTTGATCTCAAAAAATAATTGTTTTAATATGGGGGAGGTTTTTTTTTTTTGTACTGGGGATCAAACTCGGGACCTTGCGCTTGCGAGGCAGGCGCCGGAACCACTGAGCTAAATCCCCGGCCCTTTATATGGGGGAGGTTTTAAAAAGATACTGCTTTGGTATTTAATAGCTAGTAAAAAATTTAACAGCATAACCTGTTGGATCTTTTTTATTTAAAATGTTTGTAAATATCTTTGATTAGCTAATAGAAAGCACAATACCAAAGTTAAAAGAAAAACAAAATGACCTGATCATTCATTTCTGAAACCTGCCTAGTTCTCCCTAGAAGCAAACCACTATTTTGATTTTTGTTTTGTTACTGTCTAAAAAGTGATTTTTTTCTCCTAAAAAGGAATCCAGAACACTGGCTGAAATTGCAAAAGCAGAACTGGATGGCACCATTTTGAAGAGCAGACCCCTGCGAATTCGCTTTGCTACACATGGAGCAGCTCTAACTGTCAAGAACCTTTCTCCTGTTGTTTCCAATGAGCTTCTAGAGCAAGCATTTTCCCAGTTTGGTCCAGTAGAGAAAGCCGTTGTGGTTGTGGATGATCGTGGTAGAGCTACCGGAAAAGGTTTTGTAGAATTTGCAGCAAAACCTCCTGCACGAAAGGCTCTGGAGAGATGTGGTGATGGGGCGTTCTTGCTAACAACGTAAGTTTTTAATGTTTTTCTTTGGTCTCGTTACATATGGGCTTCTCTTTGTTTTGGAATTCTGTCCTTCCTTACAGTTCATACTGTCTTGGCATATGGTAAGTAGGTGTTGAGTGAATATTCAGTGACTGTGATTAAAGTTTTTGAGACAGTCTTGCTCTGTAATTCAGGCTGGCCTTGAATTTTTGTTTGTTGTTCACATGGAGTTAGGAGGCATATAAAGTAACCCTTTAAGAAATTTGAAGCCTGGTGTTTGATACATTTGTGTAATCCTAGCACTCCAGAGGCTGAGTCAGGAGAATTGTGGATTCAGGGCTGGCCTGGACTCCAGAATGAGACCCCATCTCAAAGAAAAAGGTGTGGGCTGGGGATTTAGCTCAGTGTTTCTGCCATCTGCCTCACAAGCATAAGGTCCCGAGTTCGATCTCCGCTGACAACAACAAAAAAGATGTGGCACATGCCTCTAATTCAGGTACTCTGGGAGGCTGAAGCAGGAGGATCATAAATTCAAGCCCGGGCAGTTTAGTGACTGAGCAACAACCCCAGCTTGTTTGTTTTGCTGCTAGGGATTGAAACCACGGCCTTACACATACCACATTCATAGCCCTCCTCCCCCTTTTTTTTTGGTACCAGAGATCGAACTCGGGACCTTGCCGCTTGCACAGGCACCAGAACCACTGAGCCAAACTCCTGGCCCCATAGCCCCCCTTTTTTTGTAACAGTGTCTCACTACGTGGTTCAGTTCAGCCTGGCCTTGAACTGGCGATGATCCTCCTGCCTCGGCCTCCTATATGCTGGGATTACAAGTGTGTGCCACCATGCCTGGCACTATTTTTTATTTTGAGACAGGATCTCGCTAAGTTGCTACTTTGCCCTTACTAGCCTTGCACTTGGATTTGCGATCCTTCTGCCTCAGGCCTCCACAGTGCCTGGATTGTGGCCTGTAGCACTAGGCACCACTAAAAGATTTTATATTTTACAATATTCATTGAAAATATGATTCTTCCCTTTTTACCAAAATTAGAACTCTAGAGAAAAATAGAGTTGGGAAGTAGCTCAGTGATAGAGCGCTTGCCTGATGTGCATCAGGCCCTGGGTTTATTTCCCAGAACTGCCACAAAATAAAAAGTCTGTATTTTTTTGTTTTATTGATTATATGTCTGTCTTAAACTTTGAAATCAGGTAGTATAGATCATCCAAATTTTCCTTCCTTCCTTCCTTTCTGTTTTTTTTTTCTCTTAGTACTAGAGATTGAACACGAAATCTTTGTATGGATTACATCCCCAGCTATATTTCTTTTGAAAGAGGGTATTGGTAAATTGCTTAGCTTAGGTTGTCCTAGAACGTGGTATCCTCCTCAGAGGATGCCAGGACTCCTAAATAGCAAGAGTGATATGTGTGTGCCATTTCACCCAACTCAGTGTCTGTCTGTCTTCTTTTCTTTTCCTGTATATACTGTTGGTTTTTTGGTACCAGGACTCGAACTCAGGACCTTACACTTTCAAGGCAGGTGTGGCACCACTGAGCTAAATCCCCAGCCTTGCCTTCTCTTCTTTCTCTCTTTCTCTTTTTCTTTCTTGTTCATTTTTGGTTTTTTGTTTGTTTGTATTGGTACTGGAGATCGAACTTGACCTTGTGCTTTAGAGGCAGGCGGTGGAACCACTGAGCTAAATCCCTGCCCCTCATTTTTGTTTTTGAAGGCAAGGTCTTTGATATGTGCAGTTAAGGCTAGCCTTGAACTCACTGTGTAGCCAAGGCTCGCTTCAAATTTGGAGAGATCCACTTGTCTCAGCCTCCCGAGTGCTGGGATTACAGGTTTGCACCACCACGCCTGGCTTGTTTTTTGGTTGGGTTTTTTTTTTTTTTTTTTTTTTTTTTTGTACCGGGGATCAAACTCAGGACCTTACATTTGCGGGGCAGGCGGAGGCACCACTGAGCTAAAGCCCTGGCCCTTTTTTTGTGTGTTTTGAGACAGATTCTTGCTAAATCAATGAGTCTTGAGTCCAATTTGCAGTCCTCCTGCCTCAGCCTCCCAAGTAGCTGAGATTACATTCATGTACCATAATGACTGGCTTTAATTTTTTTTTGTTTGTGTGTGTACTAGTGATTGAACTGAGGACCTCATGCATTCTAGGCAAACGCTTTACCACTGAGCTACATATCCAGAGTGAAGTTTTAAAAATATTATTAAAGATTCTGCATAGTATTTCCTTATAGCTAAGCCAGATTTAACTGTTCCTCTGTTATTAAGCATTTAGGTGTTTCCCTTTTTTTGCTGTAATAAGTAAATTGATAATAAACATAATGATATGTAATGTTCAGTAATTCTTGGTTTTCTAGTTATAGATTTTTGTTTTTTTAAACAGGCATAAATAATTCACCTTATTTTTCTGTATAAAAATACCATATAGTAGCCACAGCTGAAGCCTGGGTCCTCTGTTTAAAGCCTCTGGTATTCATCTTTGTGAGATGGTGAAGTCATGATAGGATGACATGGTTTACATGGTCTTTTCCCAGAGATTAGGGATTAAGGGTGAGACAGCTGTAGGTCTTAGGGATAGCATCATGGATGGCCTTGGTGAAGTTACCTGGGGAGGCAGTACAGCCCCTGGCCAAAGTGTTAGCAGTTGTTGATAGTGTCCTTGCTGGCAGCTTCTTGGACACAGGGGCTCAGATGATCCAGTTCCTCCTGGGGATGAGACACACCAGCAGAGTCAAGCAGACAGCAGCTCCTCACCTTGTAAGGGACAGGACAGGTTTGCTGATGTTATTTCTTACGTAGTCTTGCCACATAGCAACAATGGAGAGTTTGCTTGGCCAGGATTATGACTTCCTACGTGGTGATGGCCACCATCTTGGAGCACTTAACACTAACATAACCGGGCTGGTCTCGTGTGTGACAGATGCCTTGAACCTGGTCATCTAGCCCTGAGGGTCTGCTTTTGTATGGGCATAGTGTTCAAAATATCACCCTTGAGGCACATCTGGAAAAAAATGAGTAATTTTCAACTACTTGATAGGCAAGGAGAAGAGATAACTTTTTAGGAACTTGATCTTCGTGTCCTTGCCCAAGCTACCCAATCTGGTGGAGGGGATCTCTAGGAGCTCTGTACCCCTGGCTCCCAGGTAAAAATTTATTTCAGAATTTCATTGACAGAAGGTTTTAAATTGTTTCGTTTTAAACTGACTGAATTTTGGTAACCTAAATTTGTTGGAAAGTCAAGAATTCAGGAGTCCAAATTAATTGTAAATGTAACTTCAAAGAAAACTTTTTGACTTAATAAATTATACATGAGCAGTGTCTTAGGACATGTTTGCTGCTATTGCAGAGAACCATAGAGTGGCTGGCTTATAAACAACAAAAATTTTTCACAATTTAAGTGACTGAAAAGCCCAGCATTAAGGTGCCAGTGTCTAGTGAGCACCCACTTTCTGATTCATAGGCAGGCTGATTCTCATGTTTCTTTACTGGCAGAATGGATGAGGGACCTCTGGGTTTCTTTGGTAAGGGTACTGATCCCATTCATGGGAACTCCTGATCTAAAGAGCTAAGTACTTTTCAGAGGACCAGTTACAGTACTATTATATGAAGGATTAGGTTTCTGTGTGAAGTTATTTTTCTCTTTGTTTGTTTTGAGTTCAGGTGCTGGACTCAGTCTTCCTACTTCAGTCTCTATAGGTGTGTACTATCATGCTTGCCTCAATATATGAATTTTTATTTAGGTTTTGTTTTGGTTTTTTGAGACAAGATCTCGGTATGTAGTTCAGGCTGGCCTTGGACTCACTAGGTAGCCCAGGCTGCCCTGGAACTCATGTGGATCTTTTTATCTCAGTCTCCTGAGTGCTCAAAATATGAATTTTAAAGGGATGCAGACATTAAGCCTGTAGCAAGAGGTAACCTCTTTAACCTCTTTTTTTTTTTTTAACCTCTTTTGTATTATAACTTATTTTAATGTGACTCAGTCTTTTTACTGTTTGCTAATGTTTTTTTTTTTTTTTTAATTTTTGGTGGTAGTGGGGATTGAATGTAGGGCCTCAGCACTGAGCTATATCCTCAACCCTTTTTTTAAAAAAAATTTGTTTTATTTTGAGACAGGGTCCTTCTGAGTTGTTAAGTTGCCCAGGTTGGGCTGGATCTTTTCATCCTCTTGCCTCAGACTCTCAGCATACTGGGATTACAGGTGTGTGCTACCACATCTGGCTGCTCCTTTCATTTTTATTGTTTTTGGAAGAAAGATAATTATTTCCCATACCAGTTCTTTCTACCTCATTCATTTTTATCTGTGGGTGTATTTATTTATTTGAAACCATCTTACTTTGTAGTTCAGGCTGGCCTTGAACTCACTGTTGTAGCCCAGGCTGGCATCCACCTTGTGGTAATCATCCTGCCTGCTGCAGCCTCCTTAGTGCTGGGATTATAGGCATGAGCCACGATGCCTGGCTTGGTTCTTTGAGATGGGGGTCTCTCTATGTAGCCCAGGCTGGTCTCGAACTCTCAGAGATCCTCCTGCCTCAACATCCTGAATTCTGGGATGGCACATGGGCACCAACATACTTGCCTTGTTTTGTTTTTTTGAGACAGGGTCTCAGTATATAGTTTAAACTGCCCTTGAAGGCCAGGGATTTAGCTCAGTGGTTTCACCGCCTGCCGTGCAAGCCCAAGGACCTGAGTTTGAAGCCCAAGGACCTGAGTTTGATCCCCGGTATCAAAAAAAAAAAAAAGCAAGTAAACTGCCCTTGAACTCACTACATAGCCCAGGCTGGCCTTGAACTTATAGTGATCCTCCTGCTTTCGCCTCTGGAGTGCTGGGATTATAGGTGTGCACCCCATGCCTGGCTACCAGTTCTCTTTCTGACTCCATGTTGTGTTTCCGTGTCTTCTGATTCAGCAAAGATGTGGCTTTGACAATTTTAAATTTTGGGGGCGGGGGGGGGGCGGGTTGTACCGGAGATCGGACTCGGGACCTTACACTTGTGAGGCAGGCAGCGGAACCACTGAG